GAGAGAACATGAGGGATTCTTTCCTGGCCCCAACTCCTTAACTGTCAAGAATTCTCCATGTGTTTTATGTCCTTATGCTCAGAACTCCTCCACAATGAAAAAATAAAGCTTTCATTTTGGAAGGTTCTCACTGTTTTTTTTCACATGTACGAACACTTGTTTAACAACAACCCACCCAAAATAAAAAAATTGGAAATCATAAAGTCACTGAAAACAGGGGAAAGTTTTTATTTTGACTGTTAACATGATCGGGCACATTTAATTACTTGTGTAACTCCCAGCAATAATGTGCTATCATGTAATTGTCTCCTCAAACCCTTAGACTGTGAGGCTCAGAGAAGAACATTTTCAGAGCAAAATTCCTGCAACTGACATGCCTACTTCAAAATATTTTTGAAACAGTCATCCAATAAGAATTTACCCTTCTGCGTATCAGTGTGCTAGGTGGAGTGTACCAAAATATTTTTTTTAGAATTGCTGTTCTCAAGAAATGAGCCATGTAATTTGATGCATAACACCATATAGGAAACATTTAGCAAAGAGAATGGCATATACTAATGTATTCATTGTATGCACTACATTTGCGAGTTTGAAGTACAAGGAATTTAGAAGGTGCTGGACATTTTCACCTATCATCAGATGACTAGGAAGGCCTAAATCATTTGGAAAAGTCAGCAGGAAAGAAAAGAGCAGGGATTCATGGATTGTTGAAAGTGAAAAACTTATTGTTTTATTTGATATTTTAAGCAAAGAGGGAGAGTGAACTGTACATTAAAAACAAAACGAAGGTCATCACCATCATTAATCATTTACTAAAACCCACCTAGGGGCGTCCTCCACTGGCACTTGGTTAGTGAGACCTCTGCTCCTTCTGCCACGATGGGATGTCTCGGTTCCATGGAATTTGCCTCTATGTACTCCCTTGCGAAACCCACAGCATCTCTACTGTCCCTCTTTCCAATTCCTGCCGTACAAGGCATCCTTATTTCTAAACCAATTTTTCTTCTCTTCTAATTTCTTGAGGAAAAAAATTCACTCTTCCCTGAAGTCCCATTTTTCCTGATGCCTTTTCTATAAATGCAAATATTAAGTACATAAATATGACATTCCTTATAGTCTCATAATTCCTCTGCTTAATTTTTTGTCTCTTCTTGTCCATCATGACCATAATCTGGATTACTAAAATAGCTTCCTGTTAGTCTCTATCCTTTTAGTCAGAATAGCAAATAGTACTACTACTACTACTACTACTACTACTACTACTACTACTACTATTGCTAATAATAATAATATGATGATGATGATAATAGCTGTTTTATTTATTAAGTACTTTCTATGTGACAGAAGTATACAGGAAGCCCTTAAAAAGTAGGTAATATTATTCCCATATTGCTGAGGATAAAACTCAGTATTCAGTAAGGTTAAGTAACTTTCTTTAATAACCCAGCTCTGTCAGATTTCAAAATCTCTGTTCCTCCTGCGATCCCACAAAGTTTTGAATCGTGTCCACTTTAATTCTGCTCCTCTTATCAAAGCCAAACTGACATAGCTAAAATGCAAAGCTGACTGCATCATTTCCCTGATTAAAACTCTCCAAGACCAAATTCCTAAGACTGGTATACAAGGCTCCCAAGACACGGCCCTCCACCTTCATTCCTCCCCACTCACTGTTCCCCAGTTCCACTCTGGTTCATAAAGACTGTGTGGTTCCTTGTATTAACCAAATGGTTTCATTTTCCACTCATCGATTTTCCTCTGTCTAGAATACCTTGTCCATTTTTACTCATCCTCCAAGGTGTCCGTTTTTAGAGAAGGCTTCCCCAGCCTCTTCAGGCTGGCTAAACGGCCTCCTCTGGACTTCTGTGCTGCCCTGAAAGCACCTCTGTCCCAACACTTGCTATATTATAATGAAATGGTCTCTTTTTGTGTTTTACCCCAGCTAGCCTATAAGTTCTTTGAGTGAAGGGATAATAAAGTTTTCATTTTGTACCCGCCTTGCTCCCACCACAGTGAACAGTGTCTGGCATATGGTAGTCACATAAGTAATGTTTTTGGGTCTGAAAGGGATAAACATAAAAACTGAAATCACCTCCCAACCCCATTTCCATTTCTGGAGCATGGAACCAATCTGCCTATATACTAAACACTCAGGGTCTTATGCCACCTGTTTTATTCCACAGAATACTTCAACTTTTGTTGACTGGGTCATAAAGACCAACTACCATATTTATAGATGACCACTTTTTAATTAATTATTTATTTATTTTAATTTTTATTATAATTATTTTTTTAGCTGAGCCATCCTGCCAGCTGTTGGCAGCTCAGCAGCAGCTCTGCTCAGGCCAGGAATCGAACTAGCAATCCTGTTGCTCACAGCTCACACTCTTGAGTGAGATCTTAAACAACTGAGCCACTAGGCCAGCCCTAGACCATTTTTACAATTTGCTTTTATAAGTTCTTAGTCACCAGCAACATTCATATTGATGCTTTTTCATGATTTTTGGCTTCATGGTTCTCCTTCTTAACTACACCCACCTCCTCCCTGTTTCCACAGCAGTCATTCACTAACAAAAACTGACTCTCAGACACATTTCTCTTACATCATACTCTCTAGCAGAATTACTCACCTCAAATGGAAGTAGAAACGAGCTAATAGTTACTGAACAGCTAATTTGCACCAGTGGCTGTATTAGGCGCCTTATAATTAGCTCATTTTTTTCCCTCTCAACAATCCAGTGATTATTTACTCATCAATCTCCCATTTCTTCACATCAATGTAACTGTCTCTCTATTTTATTGGCAGCTCTAATGTTCTTAATCAAAAAATTCCTACAAGGCCATAAGTTTCATTCTTGTCACTACTGGAATTCCATAGTGAATCACTCCATCAGAGGACATTAGTCTTCTGCCTCCCTGGAAATTATTCCTTATGTTAGGCAGACCCTGGATGATTCTACGCTTCCTCCTCTTACGCCTATAGAAATGCCTCTTGCTTTTTCTATTAGAGCACCCATTACATTGTGTATTGATAAGCTTCTACCTCCTACTGCTCCATGAACCTCTGATTTTATTCATATTTTCATAAAATACAGCAAGTCTCAATAAATGTTGCCTTCTTCTTGTTGAAAAGATTATTTAGGCACAAAAGAGCATATACTGTATGATTCCACTTATGTAAAATACCCAGAATAGTAAGTTTTTAGAGACAGTAGGTTGCTTAAGGCTGGGTAGCAGAGTTACATATGAGGGTATAAAAATGGGGTTTCTTTTAAAGGGGATGAAAATGTGGAGATGGTTGTATAATCCTGTGACTATACTAAAAAGCTCTAAATTATACAGTTTAAAAATAATTATAAGGCTGGCCATAGAATAAAAAAAAAAGAATAATATGTTCTTCCCCTTATCATCTTTCCTTCATTTTAGCAGCTTTATTGAGATATAATTCACATACCATATAATAATTCATTAAAACATAGGTCACTATACCATGAACCCTTTAGAAAATGGACCATGTCTGATTCAATTTGGAATTACCAGGCCCTAACACACTATTCAGAAGTTAGTAAATGCTCATTCCATGATGTGGGACCTCTAGTTCTGAATTTATTATTAGTAACATAACTATGCCACATTTGGGTTAAATATACTTTTATAGGTTTCTTTGGGGGAATCAAACCACCATTTACAATATTATTTCCATGGGAAATGGTATATTCAAAGCAAAAATAAGCCTACTAGAAACCTTCCGACACCTTTCCACTAATAAATAAAGAAAGCCCATGAGTTATCTTGCAAGGCATCACCACTCCTATATCCTAGTACCTCCTAGACAAATATCTGTGTTCTCTAGAAACACTCAGATTTTTTTTTATTATTACAAATCTACTCAGTGTTCCAAACTCCAGGTTGTGAAATACTATTCCTGGAAGAAGGGCTTTTGAGGAATGAAGATTATCTTCTTCAAGGTAAATCCAATATTTTTTCAGGATAGATTTATTTTCATTAGGCTTTCAGGGTATATGGAAAACAAGAGGAATGGAACTTTAGAAAACTACTGTTGAATGAGTTAAACTACACATAGAGAGCCATTTATACAAGCATTAGCCCTCGTTTATAAAAATTGCAATTTCTATCTATTCCATAAGTAGCCGTTTTCTATTTTCCACATACTGTATTTTAAGTTTCATTTTATTCCCACTGTAATTTTTTTCATTAAATTTAATTGAAAGGCATTCAAAAATGTAAATGTCATCTATCAAAAATAGTGATTTTGAATCAAGAATACCATGTAAGCAATACTGCTGATAAACCTCATAATGATATATTCCCTGTCCTATATTTACATCAATAATTATTAAACCCTCCATCATATAATTTATGTATTGAATAGCACAAGATCCACATACTGGCTTCACTGGAAATACTTTATGTAGTTCTAGATAATTAGCCCATTCCCCAATATTGTTATGAAATGAGTCAACAGTATCATCTCCATTTTGTCTCTGTTTCAGACAATTATGGTCGCTAGAAGTTATATAGTTATATGTTCAAGGCCAAAGGATAAGATATGATCACAATTTTATCTTTGATTCTCTACTGGCAGGTTAATGCTTGTTCCATTAGACTATGGTATGCTTAAGATTATTAAAACCCTGTTATGTAATTTTGAAGTATTTTTTTTAAATGCATGCCATATAAATGCTGCTTGAGGACATTTGTCTCACTAATGAGTAAAGAAAATGTTTACCATTTCATAGTTTTTATTCTAACCAAATAATTCCATCACTTTGGAAATCAATTATACCTTCTCTATGTTTTTGCAAGTTTCTTAAAGCAGGGGTCATATATTTTCTTAATTGATTTACTCACAGTAGTTTATCCATAGTGGAACCTTGATTAATATATGTAGACTGACTGATTAAATAGGGAGCTAAATATATAATTTAAGTAGTTTGAAGGTCTCATATGCATAACTATAAAATTTTCACATCACTACTTACCTCTTCTAGTTGGCATGCTTTGATGACACTCCTATATCTGTACTCATCATAGGAAACACCGAAGATGATGTTTTCTTTAATGGTACCAGGCATAATCCATGAAAACTGAGAGCAGAAGGAAATTCTTCCACTGTGTTTAATTTTACCCTCTGAAGGCTCCAGTTCTCCCATAATCATCATCAGAAGTGAAGTCTAGAAATAAAACCATTTTTTAGTAAGCGAAATCATTTGACCAAATCACTCTCAGGATGCACTTGCCTCCAACTGGCATCCTAAGTAGAGTTATCTATTCTGATTTTAAAATATTCTGTATTAATTCATTCTATTAAAAAAAATTAAGTACTTCCTGTTCTGGGGGATCTAAAGAAATAGAAGAACAAAGATGTAACATAAAGTTATTATTACAAATATAACCATGAGAACAGAAACACCTCTCCAATCTTTAGAAGTTGGAATGCCCTTGGGCTTGTACCTTGGCCCCTTTTGCTTCTTATCAACACTCTCTCCTTTGGACTCTCATTGAACCCCATGTCTTTATAATGCCTGCCCCCACTGAAAGCCAGACTTACATATCCAAATACCATCTCTATTTGGATATCAATTAGGCATTTTAAGCTTAACAATCCAAAATGTATCCTCACCCAAAACTTGTTTGTCCCATAATTTTCTCAGTAAATGGTACCTTCATCCTTCTAGTTGCTCAGTCCAAAACCCTTGGACTCATACTTGACTCTTCCATTTTTCTTATGTGCTATGTCCAGTCTATATAACTCTGCTGCATCTTCCTTGGAAACATGACCTGAATCTGATGACTACTTCCATTACTGTCAGGATTAAGCCAACATCATCACTTGCCTGGATTTGCACAAAAGCCTTTTGACTCATCTCCTTGCTCTGCCCTTGTATCCCTACAGATCTTGTTACTTCTCTGCTTAAACCCCTCCAGTGGCTTCTCACCTCCTCAGAATAAAAACGAACTCTTTACAAGGCCCTTTATAAGGCCCTTAGGGCTCTTTTACAAGGCCCAAGTAATGGTCTGGCCCTCCATTACTTCTCTGACAGCTGGACCCTCCATGGCTCATTCTGGGCCAACTCCACTGACCTCCTTGTTGTCCTTGGAACCAAACAGGCACAGTCCCACTTCAAGGCTTTGTTCCACCCTCTACCTGGAGGACCTTTCCACAGATATCCACATGACTAATGCCTTACCTCCTTCAAGTTTTTTCTCAGATATTACTTTTAAGTGAGGCCTTACCAATCTCCCCTATTTAAAATTTCACCCTTGTCACCAATCTTCCTTCTCTGCTTTATCTTCATAGCATTTACCAACATGTGACATCCCACACAAATATTTTTTTTTCATCACCCATTAGAATGTGAGCTCCTTGGGATGGGGATGAAGACATGTTGTGGGTTTTGTTCACTACTATATCCTCAGGGCCTAGAATAGTGCCTGGCACAAAGTAGCTACTCAGTAAATGTGTTAGATAGTATTATGATTTAATGATACTATGATACATTATATAATATTATAAAGGCTCAATAACTTTAAACAGTGAATTGCTGGCACATATATAACAGATGAAACAATGGAACAGAATTAAAGCTACAAAAATAGATCCAAATGCAAAATGGAATTAGTATTTGATAAAGGTAACATCTAAAATGAGTGGAGAAAGATGGGTTATTCAATAAATGATGTTGGACAATGAGAAGCCACCTGGAGGGAAAAAAAAACAAACTGTATCCCTATCTCACACCATATGCCTGATGAATTTGAAATAGATCAAAGAATAAGCACAAGAACAAGAACATAAAATGCTTAAAGAAAACATCAGAGGATGCCTAAAGGAAAAGTAAAAAAAATGGAGTAAGAAAGCCATTCTATGACTCAAAGTCCAGAAGCCATAAAATAAAAGACAAATTAAACCAGATTTTAAAAACAAACAAACTACTTGTACATGGAGAACAAAAGAAAAAAAATGTCAAACTGAAGTAAATATGTGTAATTTATATCACTCAAAGGAATAACTTCCCTCTAAATAAAGTGATCCTAAAATCAAAAGGAAACATACAAACAACCCATCAGAAAAATGTACAAAGTATGTGAACAGATATTTCACCAAAATGAAAATAGAAGTGACCTTTACACTTATGAAAAGATACTATACTTTATTCATTATAATCAGGGAAATGGAAATTAAAAATACACTGAAATATCACTTCCCCCAACAAGACTGGAAAGAATTCAAAAATTAGATATCACCTGTTGGTGATGCTGTGGGGAAATCCACACTCTTATATAAACAGTATGGTGCACGCCTAAATTGGTGCAACCTTCAAGTTTGACAAATACACAAATGCTTTACCATTACTAGGAAGCTATCCTACTGGTAAACTAAATGGCATATGTGTAAGGCTATTCATAGTGTCATTCTTTGTGTTAGCAAAATACTGGAAATAATCCAAATGCCAATCAATAGGTGACTCATTCCTTATAGAACATCATCCATTCATACAATGAAATACTATGCAGCTATTTTTATTTATTTATATATGTGTATATTTATTTATATATGTGTGTGTAGATACATATATGAAAATTTTCATATATGTATATATTCATATATATATATATATATATATATATATATATATATTCAAAAATTTGTTAAAATGAAAACGGATCTG